ACTAAGTAAAAATTGAATTAAAGTTATGCAAAAATTTTTTTTTAAAATTTATTTCGAATTTTGTTAACTATAACTAGGATATATATTTGTGTAAACAATATCTAAAAAAAATGTCATTCTAATAAATGGATAAATCCCAGTCAGCGACAGAATATGTTAGATCAAATGTAAACCCACCAACGTAGCATGTGAAGGACGCCTCTTTGAGGCAAATGTTTTTTTTTTATTTTGTTTTTATTATAAAATAAGTTTTTTTTATTTGTATATTGTTGTTCTGGCAACATTTTTTTATTTAATAAAGGGGGTCTGTTGGGCTCCCAATTTTTTATTTTAACGCAATACAATTTGCCAAGAAAAATTCTCGTTTATATGTGATAATGCAATTGAATAAATTCTGAAATACATATGCAAAAATTAAATACCACTCATAGGTCATTCTGTGGTTTGTGAAAATTTTATTCGATTAAGTAGAATCAGTCGGAAATTTTGAACCTTCTGCATCAAGAATTAGCATAATAAGTGAAAAGGACCACCGAAATGAATGAAGAGATTTTTATCAATATATTTCTTAATCATGCCTCAACACATATTTCGTTTAACAGGTTTGGACTAATTATAATTCGAATTGATTTGCATTATTTGCTAATTACGCTTTAAACTATGAGAATCAAACTACAAATTTCTTCAGAAACCAATTGGGCACAACAATATTCAATGCTAAATTACATAACAATAAAACTTGGGTTTAAGCAAGTTCGGATTCACATAATTTACTTAATGATAATTATGGCAGTATTTGCGTATCATTTAAAGTATTCATACTATACTAATTATTATGATTCCTTCATTGTATCTGCTTTCAAAAACTCTTTGAGAATATCTCTATAATTACCTGAAGCCACTTTAATGCCTCTTTATCTGTTGGTCTATCGAGATCTTCTTCTGCCATCAATTTAGTTCTTGCATAATCGCTTAATTCTTGAACATCTACAAAGGCCGTTTTAATCAGATATCCAACAGACCAGATATCAACACTTTCATCATGATTAGATTGAAAAATCTCGGGAGCATGACTATCATGTGCCAAATTTGTGTTTGGAGTATTCGAAGGAATGTAACACACATCATCGAAATTGATAATAAACTATTTATCTTGATCAATGAATCTCAACATATTGCCCCAGCAGAGATCACGATGCATAATATCTATTTCATGAAGAGACTAAGGATAGATGCTTAATTTAATAAATGTCTATATTTCTAAGACAACAGAAAGTAACCGAAATGAATATTAAAGAGAATCTTAATGGCAGTCAAAACACAATATAACGCTTTGATTAGTTGTTCCTTGGAATTTGGTTTATACAAATACACCTTTTGGTGAAAAAATAGTCTTACTTTCTTCTGTGTTAGTATGAGTCAAGTGATCAATGAAAGGAACACTATATTTTTCCATTTTACGTTAAAGTGTCTTAAGTTTTTTAACAGATTTCACTGAATTATAATATTTTACAACTGAAGTTTGCAACAGCTCGATTGTCTTACCACTTGATCTGTGGTGAATGATGAATTCTCACTCGAAAGACTTAGGAAGAGTTTGACGAAGTAGGGATAGCAGTCGACCAATATTTATTCTGATATTAAAAGCTTGTATATATCTCTCTAGTGTTTCCAAAAAACAAGGTCCTTCCGTTTGACTTGGCCTTCTTCGAAATATAAATAACAATATGTCACTGTGATACCTTGCACATAATATCCAAAAATGTAAAGACAATTCCCATATATCCACATTAATTTTGAGGTCAACTCAACCGCTGGATCATCATTATTGATAGGACCTTTTTCCTCTCCTCTTGCAAGACAAGCATCATATACCAAATAAGAAAAGTCAGGTTAAAATCTTTTTGTAGAAGTGTAGCAATTTGAGTTTCGATTGAAGTTTCCAAATGGACATGCGATTTTAAAAGGCTTGAAAATAAGTGCATCCCAGAACGAATGAAGGGAGTCTTCGGTAGATCCAAATTCAGGTGGACAAGGAATTTGTATGAGATATTCGGACCACAATCGCGAGAAGGCATTAAATGATCTTACAAAAAATTTATCCAAAATGCCTGGATCGAGCTTCAACTTAAAGTAAAGATTATAATTGATTGGATAAACTTGAATCGGTTCGTTAAACGGCTGTTGAATATAATCTAATAAATTTGTGCAAGAAGAAATGAACTCGGGTCCCATCTTGAACATGCTGAGAGCCGAAAAGTATAAAGAATCATCTGTTGCTGGAAATGACCTATTTAGGGATGTATGTTCAAAGGTATGTCTTTTTATATACTTTCAAACTTACCATTTTCACATAAGTAAGCAAGAAATTTTGGTGAGTCAGCATTTCAAAAAGTATAGCAAAACGTTTATATCAAAGAAAGTAGTATAGAATATTTGAATTCAGTCATGGTACTACTTACTCTGTTCCTCACCTTTGATTTTTTCAAGCAATTTCAAGATTTTTTTAGCAGGTTATCTTGCATTAGTTCATTGACGTTCAAGCTGAGGAAAGTTTCGCCATCAATTTTTTGTTCTCGAAGAATATTGAAATCATCATCATCCAGTCCTATATCTTGGTCATATAAAAAATTTATCAGCTCCTCCGTTGTCTTATATCTTTCAACTTCATTGATTGTAGGAAGTGAAATTGTTTTTCTGGTAGAAATAGACATAATCACGTATTTAGGACAAAAAAATTTTTTTAGTAAAAAATAGTCGTACAAGCATGGGGACATTCGAATCTGATGATTTCTGGGATCAACATTACACAAGTATTTTATAGAATAGTAGTGTAAAACAGAATTTTCGGGTATAAAAAAAAAACCAAATATCTAATACTTTACTAACAAAATACCTTCATAATGAACATCTTGTCAAGAAACCAAGTTGCATCACATTGCATCACACTATACAAGGTAGATCTTTTAATAGTTGAAGTATTATCTACCGTATAGTAAAAGGTAAGAAAAGTAGATTGTACTGCTTAATTCGCAAAGTTTAACATTGTTTTTTCAATTTTTTTCTTTATTATTTAAATTATTAACTTGTTAATTTTATTTACAAACTTTTATGCAGACTTTCTTTTAAAGTTATATATGCTTCTTAAAAGATATTTGACATAGTAGAATAATTTAATATGTACGATAATATAATTTCATTAATTACGTAAGATTTAAAAAAAAACTATTGAAGGACGTGTAACTTGTATTAAAAATCTTTTAAATGAGTTTTTATAATTGTAAAATTGCTTTTATAATGTGGATGAATCATCTGATTTCTTTACAATCGAATTATTTTACTTCAAAGTTAATCTATGAATGAAATCGTAATATACGAGTAATGCCCGTTGATTGGCTGCTTTAGTTCAATGATTATCCATCTGTTTTGATGAAATTTAGTAAAAAAATATATATACCTGCAACTAATGAAATGTTTAACCCTAACCATATGTGATGTCAGCTAAATGATTGTTCGGTAAAATGATTGTCTGAATTGAAGTGATCCCATTTTGATCATGTATTAATAAGCAGCTTCTGATTATATTACAAAGCTTGTGTTTTTTCAAAAAGTGAGAAAGTTACCCATGCTAGTCATATATTCTACCTTTTATAGTTTATACTAGGGATGGTATCCTGCTTGCCTGAACTCAGTTCGACCCTGTTTGGAACCAAACCAAGACCTCGAGTTGTTTAAAATAGATTAAATGAGCAATGTTTGATTAGTAATAAAATTTGAACTTTTAATTACTATTGTTATTATGAACAAAAATTACTATCATTATGACAAACAAAAATTAATTTTTTTGGCTTTTTTTTAATTTAATGTGGTGTGATATGACAATTTATTATTTTAATTTTTTTAATATAAATATATGACTTTCTCTTTTTTATATATATATATATATATTTTTACTTGATTTTATTGTTCAATAGACGAAGACAATACAGTTGAAGAACTTATTAATTCTACTGAACCTACATCTTCAAGTTCGATGTCTCAAAATGTAATTGAACCTGGAATGCTTATTAAATAATGAACTATCCTCCAAAGTGATTAAAAAAAGGCCTTTCTGAAATGAACTTACTAAAATCGGTGATAAATGACAATATAAACTTTGCAATAAACCTTATTTAATGAAAACGGGTCTCTCTACTATTAAAACTATTTTAAAAATAACCATATAGATAAGTGGGCTCTTGAGAATGCCAAGAGACTACTTGATCATACAAGCAACAAGCATACTTAGTGAAGAAATATTTCGAAAGCAAAAAATACCATTAACCCAATACATAACAGGTTGTCTTAAGAAACTGTCTCAGCAAACCTCTGTCTAAAAACCTGGTATGAAGCAGATATTATGACTCTAATTAAGGTTAATAATTGGATAAATAAATAATAGCGATAGATGCAATAAATCTAATAATATTATAATGCATATATTTTAAAATGTAAATTTTATGTATTTGCTTTAATAAAAAGTAATAGTGGTAGCTCATACACGTATTATTTCTAGTGAACTAAGTTTGAAAATCAGTTTTTATGTAAATGCACTAAGCATAATTATTAACACATTGATATAAACTAAGCTCAAAAATTGGTTTTTATGTAAATATATAGAATATAATTATTAGTATATTGATATGAACTAAGTTTGAATATCAGTTTTTATAAAATGCTCCGAACAGTATTTAAACAGGTTTTTAAGCACAAACCAACTGGTTGAAACAGGATAACATCACTAGTTTATATAAACAATGTCATACAACAGGTCATGTATTGTTATATGATAAAATAACAATACTGATATTGTATTTTTCTGTAACATAATTACAGTATTGATTGTTATATTTCAGTATTTATAATTATTCAAGAATATAATAGGAATTTGAAAGTTACTTATCACTTTTTTCTTAAAAAATTATCATATTCACACTGTCTATATATTCTATCCACTACTTTTTTGCATGTATTACAATATAGATATGAATGATGATCATATTCGTCACAAATCTTATATCGGTATTTCTAACCTCTAAAGATATACTACTTTTTGATGTAATTTTGATTTTTTATTTGTTAATATTTGGAGAGTGATGTGGGGTACTATAGTTCATACTATACAATAATAGTTGTAATAGGTATAACAGCTATAACAGCTATAATAGGTGTTATGAATTTGGCTAAATCTAGTCAAGCAGGATTAATTACTGATAATAGCTATCTGATCACATTATTTAATATGTTATTTAAATTTTTCATTGTTATAGATTAGCAGAAAAATAATACACATAGGTAATTTTTTTATAACTATGATACAAACCTGTAAATAAATTATATATAACAATAATGATAAGTTTTGTAAAGATTTTCTAATTTAATTTACAAGTGGCAATATATATAGTACATGTTTATTTAAATTTCTTCTTGTTAATTCTGTTACTGTTGTGTAGTATTAAACATAATTCAATCTTTCGAATACATATTGAAACATGATAAATAAAATTTTTGGTAAGCAAACATATTTAAAATCAAATTACCAATATAACTTCTTTATTTATTTTATAAATATATAGGTTCAAACCAGTTAGTAAAAATAAATATTAAAGTAGCAGTGTTTCAAGAAAAGAATAAAGCATAAAACTATATCTGCTGGTCTCTAAACTATAAGATAGCAGTTTCTTCTTATTACTCTATATCATCTAGCTATTTATCTATATTATTAAATATAGAACTATTATACAGTTATCCTCCTATACAATCACATAGTTGAGCACATAGTAAATTTTTTAAAAATATGCTTATATAGGGGTTGTGCTTATATAGAGATATTTTCTTATAAATTTAGTTATAGTTTGGCCTAAATATAAATGTGATTATATATAGTGTGATTATATGAGAGGTGACTATATGGAGAGATGACTGTATATACTATTATTATTATTATAAAAATTTTTAATTATTATTATTTTAATTTTACCACCAAAACCTTGAATGCAATTTTCTATTTTATTATATATTTTATCAAAGATGAGATTTTTTATATTTCTTTCTTGATCAAATTCTTCTTTAAAGCAGGCTTAAATAGTTAAGCTAATATCTAAATATTGAATTCGACCAAATTCTATAGAATTTAATTTACTTTGTTAATTAAATCCCTCCTGTTTATACTTTAGATAAGAGAATATTGTTAATTACTTGTATTTTGAAGTATTATAATAGTTCTACTGATTGTTTTAAATTCAGTTGCAATTTGATTTATTATAGTAGATTTTTAAAATCTGTTTAATTTTATTATAATTCTTATATATTATTGACTATAGTAATAATATTCTGTACTTCTATCATATAATTAGCATTATAGTAATTTATTTTTGCAGTAAGATCATTATTAATTTCTGTTTTAATCTTGCTATT